GATTTTCTGTAGGGTTTTTATCATGAATGAGTGTTGGACTTTGTTGAAAGCTTTTTCTACATCTATTGAGATGATGAGGTGATTCTTGTCCATCATTCTATTGATATGGTGTATTATATTTATTGATTTGTGTATATTGAACTATCCCTGCATTCTTGGGATGAGTCTCACTTGGTCATGTTGTATAATCTTCTTGATGATTTGCTGCATTCTGTTTGTGAGTATCTTATTGAGGATTTTTGCATCTATGTTCATTAGGGAGGTTGGCTTGTAGTCTCTTTTTTGATTGAGTCTTTCTCTGGTTTTGGTATCAGGGTAATACTTCCTTCCAGGAATGAGTTAGGGAGGATTGCTTTCCTTTCTATATCATTAAAGAGTTTGTGAAGAATTGGCATTAGATCTTCTATAAATTTCTTGCATAATTCAGCAGTGAATCTGTTGGGACCTGAGCTTTTCTCTGTTGGTAAGCTTCTTATTACATTTTTAATTTTGTTGATTGGTATTGAGTTATGCAGGATTTCTATATCTTCTTGACTCAGCTTTGGTAAGTCATATGTATCTAGGAATCTGACCATTTTTTCTGTGTTTTCCATCCTACAAGAGTAAGATTTTGAAAGTAAGTATTGATGATCTTCTGAATTTCTACAGGATCTGTAGTAACGTTACCCTTTTCATTTCTTATTGCATGAATTTGAATTTTTTATTTCCTTTTTTGATAAGGTTAGCTAGGGGTTTATCAATTTTATTTATTGTTTCAAAGAGCTAACTCTTGATTCATTAATTCTTTATATTGTTTCCTTATTCTCCATCACGTTAATTTCAGCTCTGATCTTTGTAATTTCCTGCCTTCTTTAGGCTTTGGGTTGACTTGCTCTCTTTTTCTTGAGATGCAACACAAGGTTGTTTTTTTGCTTGTTCTGTTTTCCTAATATGAGAATTTATCGCTATAAATTTTCCTCTGAGGACTGCTTTTATTGCCCCGGGAAAGCTAGAGTAAATCTTAGAAGAATCAGTTGTATCTCATGTTAAAATAATGAGACAGGTTTCTCTAACTTTTCATGTAAATCCTTCTCACTTACCTCTACTCTCTCTTTTGCTACCATCTCTCTGTTGCTACCAGAATTTTTATGTTTAATTACTTTTAGGGCATGTAATTGTTACCACCTGATCAATCATAGAAAAGATAGTAAATTCCACAATTTTACATTAAATGACAAATGTTAACAAATTCATGAAATGTCATGTTTTCTTGTTTACTTTGAAAATATTTCTAATATTTCAATGCCATATTTCATGTTAAACATGATACACAATTAAAGGTGGAAATAAGATAAAATTACTACCTGTTGCTTTTAATAGAGACATTGCCTTAAGATGTCTAACCAATAAAATACAAAAAATAGCCTATTAGAAATATTTAAAGAGATGATACAACATGGTATTACTTAGAGATTATTAGACTTCTACCATTAAAATCTAAAAGAAAATGACTATTTAATAGCAATGTAAATGTTCAGTAAAGTGACTAACAGAAGTTTGCTAATGGAAAATAATAATACTCCTATATCTCTCAAGGCTGACAAGAGCACAATAAAATAACTGTTAATAACCACTAGGAAACATGCTGGCCTCATGTGATAAGAAGAGTAGACTTCAGTGACAAAAAGAAATGTTGACTACATACAGAGACATTTCTTATTCCTGAGTGCAAGACTCCTAAAAGCACTGTATAAATAATTCACTTCTAGTCAAAATACCAAGTAATTGTTTGTTGTTTTTGTTGTTGATAGAATTTGATGAAAAGTTATAAATCTATTTTGTGAGGAATAACATATTTCAATATTAAAAGTATTGAAAAGTAGAGGACCTAGGCACACCCACAGCTCAGAGAAGTCAGGAGCCATGGGTCTTGCCACGCCTTTGGAGGTAGGAGTTGGTAGGCAGGGGTCACTGGAAACAGCAATTGCTGGTCGTTCTCATGGGTTTTTGAGGAAGTCCTGTGGACCCAGCGAGCCAGTCAGTATTGTGGTCCTCTTGAGGGGCTTGGTTATAAACTTCAATTTGAAAGAGACAGGAGGACTTCCACCACTCCTCATCAGTGGTGACACTATGTGAGAGAAGCTCTAAAGTCATGCTCTGGGAAACAGGTACATGAAAATGGGAGTAGCAAAGGGAGCCAGTTACAGGACGGCAAACTGAAGGGGAAACACACCAAATTCAAATCCAGAATCAGAGGACAAGGGGTAGAAAGGAAAGCTGGACAGCCCGTGGTCAGTGGCATCCCTTAAACTGCAGGTCAAGTGTACCTGCCACCTTGGGAAAAGATCTAGCACCCCGAGAAAAAGAACCTGTACTTCAGCAGAGACCAGGCTGAGGGAGTAGGCTCCCAGTCTTTCTACCCTCCCCACCAGGAAAAACATAATGAATGAGTTATTTGCACACCAGGCATCAGAGAAACTGAAAGTCAGCAGGGGAAAGCACTGGCAGGGCTTCCAAAGTTGAAAACAAGGGCACAGTCTGATTAGGAACCCAGTTCAGAGTGTAGAAAAAGCTTTAGGCGCCTGAGGGTGCAAGTGTAAATACCAAGATCCTGAGAGAGGAATAGATAGACATACCAGGAAATAAGCACTCGATCAGTCTTACCCAAGCGCCATGAGAAGTGAGCCTGGGGGACAGCTGGACACCACCTGCCACTCATCATCAGGTGCCTGCACAGCAGCCTACACTGTCCTTAGCTGGGTGCTACAGAACACAGTGGGCCCCGGGGCACCGAGTTTCTGGGCTGGAGAGTGATGCATTTTTTTTTTTTTTTTTTGGTTTTCCTCCGGTACCGGGAACGGAACTCACGACCTTGCGCTTGCCAGGCAGGCGCTTTGCCGCTGAGCTAAATCCCCAGCCCCGAGTGATGCATTTTGTAAAGCAAGGAAAGAAGCATTCCATGTCAGCTTAGCCATGGGGTGACTTGTGGCACTCTCTTCAGAAGAAGAAGAAGAGCTTCTCCCTTGTGGGGAGAACACAGAGCAGCTATAGGGTTTGTCATGTAGGGAAAAGAGCGAGATTGAGAAAGCCTGTGAGTGAATCAGCAGAAAACCGGGTACTAAGCCTACCACAGCGCACCCTCCCCTCTGTGACTTGACTGATGGAGTCTGATCTAGGACAAAGGCAAAGACTTGCAGCTAGTCATACCCAGCGCACACCTTGCAGGGTGGAGATGGACTCAGTGGTCCATTTGGATCCCCAAGCCTCCTACTCCACACCCAAGTAATTGAATGGATCGCAGGGCATCCCAGCTCGGAGACCAGCAGGATCTGCCCATAGAATGGAAAGGGTGAGAAGAAGCATCTGTGCGCATATTCACACTCCGAGGAGTAAGAAAGTATGAAAGCCAGACATTGAAATACATCCAGACCACAATTACAGTAAAAGCTTCCCCACTTGTGAACATGTCGGTAGGAGCTCACTGTCCGAACTCAGACGGCAATGTAACTGGGACTGTGAGGATGCTTTCATTCTGTATTTTTGCAAGTGCATCTTTGGGGATTGTTGCTTCCCCTCCCGCCCCCGCCTTCTCTTCTTTTCTTCTGTTTCTTATACCTTTGACTTCCCTTCTTCCTTTCTCCCTTTCATCTAGCACGTATCAGAATGTGTGCAAAGGATAATAAAAATTAATGAGTACTTTAATCCAAATAGTACATTTCATGGGCAATTCATGGTAACCCCCACCAAAACTGAGCATGGAGGATCCAAACACAGGCTATCACCATAGTAACAGGTTCTGGCCTTCATACAGCTTCCTGATCCTTCAGTTACACTTCCCTCCCTCTGTGCTCTTCTCCCATTCCTGCAAATAGTTCCCAGCCTCCTTCCCACAGCTCTTTTTTCAAGCTATACAAATAATTTGAACAGAGTTCAAACTCTCTTCATTCTCTCAATTGTTTCTTTTTTCTCCTTTTCTTTCTGATCTAGCCCCTTTCATTCTCTTACTTTTATTTAAATGTCCTGGTCAAACTTCTTGATAGACCTTTTCCTTCCTCTTCAGAATAAAATACAGGGGCTGGGGATTTAGCTCAGCGGCAAAAGTGCTTGCCTGGCAAGCGCAAGGTCGTGAGTTCGGTTCCGGTACCAGAGAAAAACCAAAAAAAAAAAACAAAACAAACAGAATAAAATACAGCTATAGTGAATATCTTTTATTTGAAGAAACAAAAGCAGATTTTTAGGGGTAAAAATTCAAAAATAGGAAAAACCTTTTACAAATGAAAGGAAGATTTTTTTTCTTACACCATCAATAAAACTATTGCACTATATATAAAAAATAAATTTTTCTTTTAATTTTCATAATGAAAAATCCACATGACAAGTCTACATTGACAAATATAGTTATATCAATAATGTTAATAGAAAATCATAATTTGTTTCTGTGTAATTTTTCTTTATAATATAAATTTACCAGCAATAAGTAATTAAAAGAAATGATTAGCTGGGCATTAGTGGTGCATGCCTGTAATTCCAGCACTCAGGAGACTGAGGCAGGAGAATCACTTTGAGTCCAAGGCTAGCCTGGGCTACATAGTGACTTCAAGGCCAGCCTGAACTACGTATCAAGACTCTGCCCCCCAAAAACAAACAAGCAAACAAAAGAAATGATAATAATTTACAGACTTGTTCATAATTTGAGTAGTGATGGTATTTCCTGCCTCACTAGAAATCAAGTTGTTGCCTAATAGATTCAGATAGAACTGTGTTCTCTCATAAAGGAGTAAATGTCTAGGAACAAATCTGTAACTCTTAATTTTTCAAAAAGTTTTATCAGGAATAGATATAAACTCTGCCAGGTTAACTGCTGGCATTTTACTGAGATTTTTCTCTTCTTACTTGACATAGTGATGTATTAACAGTTTCGTAACTTTCAGATTTTATGGTCCTCTCAAGATTAGCCACAATAGATCAGTTGCACTTGTATTACTGTATTTAATTTACTAAAAGTTTTTTCATCTTCGTAGCTCAAGATACACAGGAAGATCTAGAATCACCTGTAGGATATGTGGATCAAATTCAAAGAACTGAAGTTGGCCAAGTTCAAGGACTGAAAAGTATGTACAATATTGATGAATATGTTCTAAAATAAAAGTTAAAATACTCAATTATTTTTAAATATAGGGCAACCTTATGGTTCATTTTTTTGTTAGTGTATGTTTGAAATACACAATGAACACACTCATCGTGGGGAACTGTACATATACATATAGCATCTTTCTCCTTTTTGTATCCCCTTGTCCCCCCTCCCGCCAGTTATCCCCATCCCCAGATCTCCTTCCTATCTTTGTGAAGTCCATTGACGTTTCATAGAACTAGTGAATACTGTCATGTAATTAACACCGTCCTTTATGTCACATATTCTTTAATATTCAGACTGTTATAGTGCACTTAAAAAATGTATTTGGGTGCTCACTTCAGCAGCACATACACTAAAATTGGAAGGACAAAGAGAAGATTAACATGGCCCCTGTGCAAGCATGACACGCAAATTCTCAAAGTGTTCCATATTTTTCAGAAAGAAGGTAGAAATCTTGAAGACATGGGGTACGTAGTGAGTTCATGAATAAAAACCAAACTGCACTGGAAATACTTCAAAGAATCAACAATTGAGATCTCATCTTATTGAAAAGTTTTTGCACATCAAAAGAAATCACCAGCAGACTAAAAAGAAAACCCACAAATTGGGACAAAATTTCAGCCAGCTGCCCCTCAGACAAAGGATTTCCATCTAGAACATATTTAAAAATCAAATTCAAAGACCCAATCCAAAAATGGGCATCTGAGATGAATACACACTTCTCAGATGAAGAAAGACAAAGGCAAATAAATATATGAAAAAGGGGCTGGGGATTTAGCTCAGCGGCAAAAGCGCTTGCCTGGCAAGTGCAAGGTCGTGAGTTCGGTTCCTGGTACCGGAGAAAAACCAAAAATAAATAAATAAATAAATAAATGAAAAAATGTTCAATATCATTGATCATTTGAGAAATACAAATTAAAGCAACACCTGAGATTCCAACACCTGGGGTGATCTCACCCCAGAAAGAATGGCTATCATCAAGAAATCAACCAATAACAAATGCTAGAGGGACAGTGGGGAAAAAGGAACCCTTCTCCACTGTTGGTGGGAGTGTAGACTGATACAACCACTGTGGAAATCAGTGTGGATATTGCTCAAAAAACTAGTATTAGAGGTCCCATTCAACCCAGCTCTTCCTCTTCTGGATATTTTTCCAGAAGAACTGAAAACATCATACCACAGAAATATATGTGCACCCATGTTTATAGCAGCCTGATTTGTAATAGCTAAATCTTGGAAACAACCCAAATGCCCATCAACTGAGGAATGGATAAAAAAGATGTGATATTTTTATACAATGGAGTATTTATTACTCAGCTATAAAGAAAGATAAATTCGAGGCTTTATAGGTAAATGGATGTAACTAGAGACAATACTCAGAAGTGAAATAAATTCAGACCCACATGTGTAAACATCATATTGTCTCACTACTGTAAGAACCTGAAAAAATAAAATCTGAAATATACAATAGATATTTTGAATGAGAAAGAAACTGCTCAAAAGGAAAGAACAACTGAGATGAGGAAAAGGTGAAAAGAAAGAAAGAAGGAAGAGAAAAATATATATATATTTACACACAAGATAGCTAAGACAATTGTACTACTAATTTCTACTGGTTTATTGAAAGAAGCAATTAATGGGTAATTGCTTAATGAATCTTGCATGCTTATAACTGGTAATCTGAAAACTGCTTTGAAGATAACAATATGTAATACAATAACCATTATTAATTTCCTATCATCTTGTTTTGAAATTCTGTATCATTTTTATTGTTTTTGTGTTGTTTTGTTTTTGTCTCTATTTTTGTTATTTTGTTTTTGTTTTTTCTCTATAAAATAGAAAATTACAGTACTCATTAAGAACAGGAAAAAATTATTTGGCCAATGAGTCTTGCCTTTATCTTTTCTCACAATAGTGTTTCATGGAGTTCCAGATTATTATATGTGCTACCAAAGTGAGCACTGGAGTTCCAGTTTAGGAAACAACTTTCTAGAAATTTATAGAGCTATTCCAATTTTTTTATTACTGATGATTGAACCCAACACCTTTACACAATAATACACCCACAGCCCTTTGTACTTTTTATTTTGAGTCAGGGTCTTGCTAAATTGCTAAGTGACCAGTCTAGGGTCAAAATTCCCTTCCTTCTTCCTCACCCTGCCAGAGTGCTGGGATTTACAGGTGTGTGTCACCAAGCCCAAATACAATTATTTCACTTTTCAAAGTGTTACAGTTAACCAGTATTCATAATGCATAAAAGAATTAATAAATTCTTATTAAGTATTATCTGCTAAAATATACTATTATCTAGATTAACTTGCTCTTGATATTGTTGTCCTCTACCCCCAAAAATATTATATGTTGGCATTTGAGACCTAATGTAATTATATTTTGAGGTGAGACCTTTTGGAAAGTAAGTCATGAGCATTCCACCTTTATGAATGGGATTAGCACCGCTGTGAAGAGCTGTTAAGGGAGTTCTGTCATTGTTTTCCTCTACTGTAAGGACACGGCATTCATCCATAACACCCTTCTGTCGTGTAGGAACATAGAGAAAGTGCCGTCTTGGCACTTGGATCTTTGACTTCCTAGCCTCAAGGACTGTGAGAAATAAATTTACACTGTTTTTAAATTACCCATTTTGAAGTGTTTTGTTAAAGCACCAAGAACAGACTAAGACAGAAAGTGGTACCAACAAGTGGACTGCTGCTATAACAAATACTCATAAAGTGGCTTTGGGAACTTAGTGCTAACTAGAGGCTGGATTGTAAAAAAATTACTTTGGTGAGAGGACAGAAGAGGGGAACTTCAGAGAAAGCTTCAGCCTTCTTGGAAATCATTTAAATGATCATGAATATATAATGTTGGTAGGAATGTAGACAGTAAAGGCCATTTTGATGAGCTATGCATGGAAATAAAGTACGTGTTACTAGAAACTGGAAGCAAGACCACCTTTGTTGTATATAAAATGGCAAAGAACTTGACAGAACTGTATCTGTGTCCCAGTGTTTAGTTTCAGGAGCAGCTTAGGAGTGATGAACAAGATATGTGGCAGAAGAAATCACTAAGCAGTGTTGAGGCTACAGCACTGCCTATAGTAAAATTGTGTGAAAAGAGAAATCAATTAAAAACAGGATTTACAATCAAAGGGGAACAGAAAATGATTTGGCAGAAGATTAATATATTAATATATACATCCAAAATTAAAATGTCTATTTTATTCTTTAAAAGTAACTATCATAGAACTCCAAATCAGGGTCAATTTTAGATTATAATAAAATGCATAGGACAAAAAAAGCCTTTAAACTAATATTAAATTTATTTTGCTCTTAATAGAATACAAGAGGGGCTGGGGATTTAGCTCAGCGGCAAAGCGCCTGCCTGGCAAACGCAAGGTCGTGAGTTTGGTTCCTGGTACCGGAGAAAAACCAAAAACAAAAAAAAAAAAAAATAGAATACAAGGGAGAGAATTTACCTAGCATGATATTTTTATGTCATTGGGGCACCCAATGCTATAACATACCTTGTATCTCTTGTTTCCTTCACCTACTATGAGCATTTCAAGCTACTTGAGACAGGAATCAAGGCAACTGTGGGGCCGGATTTAGAAAAGCCATATTACTCATAAACACTTTGACATAATTTATCTGTCTCCAGAACATTCACTGATGTATCACTGATGCACTGCCTTGAACTGGGCTTCTAACACCACTTGCCACTGACTTTTACCAATATCCATTCCACTGTGATTAGATAGCATGGAGCCCTTCTGAAAGAGATGGTGCTGTTCTTCCTCAGAATTGTTGAATTGCTGCTGGCTATAGTTTATGAGGTTTATAATATGTGTTCCTTTCTGAATGGGCTTTTTGAGGCTAATGGCAAACTAATTTTTAACTTCTGCCAATTTAGCTATGCTTTTGTTTTCGTTTTTTATTTTTTGAGATAGGATCTCACTATGTAGCCGAGCCTGGACTTTGACTCCCAGTGATCCTCCTGTTTCAGGCTCCCAAGTTCTGGGATTACAGGAGTTTGCCACCATGCGTGGCTCTTGGCTAAGCTTTAATACCTAGTTGTTTGGTCAAACCATAGTCTAGCTGTTTCTGGGAATGTATTTATTTAGACGTGATTAAAATGTAAGTCTGTAGACATTGTGAGAGTAAAACAGATTACCCTCTACAGTGTAGGTAGGCCTCATCCAACCAACTGAAGGTCTTCAGGAAAAATGAGGAGATGTGTTGATGAGGAAAAATCCTGCCTCCAGATCTTTGATTTAAGACTGAAACAGTGACTCTGGCCAGAATTTACAGTCTGCCAGCCCTAACTCTTTCGAATTACCAGCCCCCAAAATCGCTAGAGCCAAGTCCTTAAAATCTGTTTCATTCCTTTAAATAACACCATCCCAGGGCTGGGGATTTAGCTCAGTGGCAAAGCGCCTGCCTGGCAAGCGCAAGGTCGTGAGTTCAATTCCTGGTACTGGAAGAAAACCAAAAAAAGAAAAAAAAAAAAAATACACTTAGAAAAACCAATCTTGACACTCCCCTGCAGGAAACTGTAGCTGAAAAAAAAAAAACAATCTTAATTGGGGCTGGAGATTTAGCTCAGTGGCACAGCGCCTGCCTGGCAAGCGTGACATCGTGAGTTCGATTCCCGGTACCAGAAAAAAAAAAAAAAAACACCATCCCCCACCGAACCCTGCCTAAAACAGATTTTGGAAACAGATATGGTTGAACAAAATGTTAAGTATAAGGGTTTTTTAATTTGTTTTGTTTTTAACTAGCTCTCAAATTTGATTAGTTTTAATGACACAATTGACTCTATTTCCAGTAGTAGACAAAGCATCAATAGTCTATAACATGTTATTGCAATAGGATGCAAAATACCACCACTGGATATTTGAAATCAAATACTTACCAGAAATGAAATTCTGGGTGATCATGTATTTGAAACCTCTGAATATTTTTGCCAGTGTAAAGAGGT